ATGTGTTTGTTATTATTGTATTCCCTGTGTTCGAAATGCTGAAAACAATACATCGTTTGATATCTGAAAAAACACAAGTCCTTCATGACGACTGCTTTTGTGAGTTAGAGTTGTACAAAATGTAATTGAATTGAAGTTTCGTTCTTGTCTGCTTATTTTTGTATGGTAAGTAAGTAATCTATATCTATAGCGCCTTTCACAGACCAGAGATTTACAATTGTTGTGAGAGAAAGGCCCCGTCTGGAGTTGGAATCGAACCGAGGACCTTCATGCTGTGATACACAGGTGTCATGCTGTTAATATGAATTCCTCCACCAGATGGCAATAAATTACTCACTTTGCTTGACTAAAAAAAAAAACAAGAGTTTTACACACATTTCAGTAAAGTAACACATAATTTAAAGCATGTTATGAAATCGTTTATATATTATGATTTAGTTTAGTTTGACTAAAGAGTACAGAAGATGAGATGGACTGTATAATATTTACAGTCCATAGTTTGAAGTACATTTTGACAAGCTTAATGATAAAACTGTGAATCTACGTCTCATAATTATGCCTCAACTTGGCGCTAATTGCATGTGTGAGTCAGATCCCATAAGACCTCTGAAACTAAGCAGGGCAGGTGATGGGAGACCTCTGGGAACACAGTGATAATCTGCCGTAATCTTAGGCAAGGCACTTCACCCACATAAGAATGTGTGTGAATGGTTGGTGGTGGTCAGAGGGGCTGATGGCACATACTGGTTGCCTCGCTTCTGTCAGTGTGCCCCAGGGCATCTGTGGCTACAGTAGTAGTTTATCACTGTGTATGGAGTGAAAGAAAAATGACTTGTGACGCGTCTTTGAGTGTCCAAAAAATATCCAAAAACAATAATAATTATTGTTATTAGGACTCTGCTCTTACTACCTGTAAATTCTTACTTTTTTCTATTCCAGATTAACACATACTGAGACTTTGTCAGTGCAAAATAGCGTTTATATCTACAACAGACGTCATTCCCCCATCCATAAAAAAAAAACAACACTAAATAATTTAAAACTCTCATATGTGCTTTCATTTATGTATGTGTTTCAGGTGAGTCGACCAAAGTACAGCTTTAAAGTACCTTTGATGTAGTTGGGGTTTGGTTTATGACATTCATAGTGTGGCATTCAGGCTAGGACTGCAATTTTCGTTTTACCTACAAGATAGTAAAAAACCCATGTTATAAATGCTTCATTATATATCTAGAAATCAATAAATCAGACAATACAAGTGAAATAGAGCTCAATTTATTTACAAGAAACAACATTAAAAACAGCAGTAGAGCATATGGCTTCATCATTCTTTTTAAAAACATATAAAACATTCAGCAAAAATATAAACTGTGATATAGTCGCACCAAAAGTCACTCTTCAGGAAATCTCAACGTATGAGACACAGGACTAAAAATAAAACTTAAATATTAAGCTATACAAACTAGTTACATATTGGTTCCCATTGCAACATGCAAATGGAAATGGTTCAGAAGAAAAATCACAAAAGGTTCCTCTGAAGTTGTTCATTCAATCTCCAGACGATGGGAGGCGAATTAGCAGTACGAAGTAACAGGGTATTGTAATGGTGTCTGTCTGACTATGTCTCTGTGTGTGTGTGTCTGTCTGTGTGTGTGTGTGTGTGTGTGTGTGTGTCTATTTGTTTGTTTGTCTGTGTGTGTGTGTCTGTTTGTGTGTGTGTCTCTCTCTGTCTGTCTGCGTGTGTTTGTGTGTGTGTCTGTCTGACTATGTCTCTGTGTGTGTGTGTCCATGTGTCTCTGTGTACAGTATGTGTGTGTCTGTCTCTGTGTGTATGTGTGTGTGTGTGTGTGTGTGTGTGTGTCTATTTGTTTGTTTGTCTGTGTGTGTGTGTCTGTTTGTGTGTGTCTCTCTCTCTGTCTGTCTGCATGTGTTTGTGTGTGTGTCTGTCTGTCTGTTTGTTGTCTGTGTGTGTCTGTGTGCGTGTGTCTGTGTTTATGTGTGTGTGTGCGTGTGTTTGTGTGTGTCTGTCTGTCTGTCTTTGTGTTTGTCTCTGAGTGTGTGTGTGTGTTTTGATTTAGGGCTATACAAAAATACATTGAATTGATTTAATACGGCCTCTTTAAACCCTCACAAACTGAATGGAACCAGTCAGACCAGAGAGCCCAGAGAGGATGGACTGGTTCAGGTCTACAGCGGTCCTTCTGGTCTCTTCTCCAGGCTGTACTCTTGAGTCCTCTTCACTTTCCAGCCCAGTAATACGAGCAACGCGATGCCCATGATCTTGTATCCCACCTGGAGACCCAAGTACCTGCAGAGAGAGACCAGGACTTCAGAGAAACTGGGTCTGAACAACATATCGTCAATAACGAGCAAGTGTGAGCCTCCCCACAGCCACAAACGCTCATTATATTTTCACCATCCTTTGAGGTTGTCATGGTAATGCATGTGGGAAAAACGTAACCTCAAACGGTCTTGCACTTTTGTTGCAATGAAAGACACAAAACCTGTTCTTTTCATGTATTTCTCTCTGGTGTTATTTTATGGCAAGTCCTTTAACTTATATAAAAACACACAGAGAGAGAGAGAGAGCGAGAGACAGAATTGGTGAGTGAGAGAGTGAGTAAGAGAGAAAGACAGAGTGAGTGAGTGAAAGACAGAGAAAGTGAGTAAGAGAGAGAGAAACAGAGAAATTAAATGAAAGAGAGACAGACAATGAGTGAGAGACAGAGAGAGTGAGCGAGAGAGAGTGAGTGAGTGATAGAGTGAAAGAGAGAGAGAGAGAGTGGGACAAAAAGTCATACGACTACTAAACCGGCCCTAACTCCGTCTCTGTTTCTGTTTTATTGTGTGTCCCTTATACTGAACTGAACATCTGCTGGAGGCACATAAGAATGTCACTGCATGTAATGTGTATGTGACCAACAATAATAAACTAAACTAAACTAACTCTCTCCAAGCTAAGATTGCTTCGAACCAGTCTGGGACCGAGATAAATTCATTAACATAATAACATAGAAGTAAACTACATAGAGACAGAAACAGACAAAGTTACGAAGCGGAGTAATCACACTTCCAAAACGAAAAGACCTACCTGGGAAAAATGAGTTGATATATTTGTGAGAGCCCTATTGGGAACTGTCACTGTCAACAACAATTTATCATCACATATTTGTTACTAGTGCTTTCTGTTTACACATCTTTACCTGTTTTTTATTTTTTTTATGTATAATTGTGCCCTTTTTGTTAGCTGTACCCCGTGCCTCCCTGTGTGCTCGTTTCCTCTTCTTGTCTGTCCATTGTTGTGGTTTGTCTTGTCCCTGGTGTCAGTGTTTTGCTTTTAGATTTGGATTTTTGAGTTCCTTCTTGTTTTATCCGCGACAGTAAGTTTGCATTTACAATAGTTGTGAGCATATGAATAATTCATGATGAAACCTTCAGCTTATTATTCAAGATACTGAAGGTTGAAATCAGAGTAGTAGTAGTAGTAGTAATCTTTATTTATATACCGCCTTTTCACTGCACATCGGAGTCTCAAAGCGGTTTACAATTGTTATTTTTGGGAGCAGGGGTGCCAGTACAGGAGGCACATGCCAGACCTATTGTACATATTTTTAGTGGTAGGGGAAACCGGAGTACCCGGAGGAAACCTACGCAGACACAGGGAGAACATGCAAACTCCACTCAGATGTACAAAGGAAGTATAGACAACCTCTTCATGACCCACTTTTGGGACATGACCCAGATTTTTACCAAACCACAAGACTTCTTTTGTTTTCTTTTTTTTTTTCAGCACTTAAATATTAATGAGACATGGATTTGACGAGTGTGCAACTGTAGACTGTAGTGGACTAACATCACCCACAGTGTTTGCCCTATTGAGAAAAAGTCCCATTAGAGCTAACTCAAACAGACTCTAATGAGGGGGAGTCTGGAGACATATATGTGGGTAGCAACAACCTAGCAACCAAGGAACCAATCAGGCGCGGCCCTGGTTTGTGCTAATAGCTTGCTAAAGGCGAATTCAGGGACAGAAAGCGAATGATTGGTCAGTTGGTAGGAGACTATCAACATTCTCTGTACCTGTTTCTTAATACGTTGTTGTCGTAGTAACCACAGCTGAACTTTCTTCCGCATATTCGCCTCCACCAGATGCAGGACGTGTCTATGGCCGTACCGAACAAGGCTGGAGCCGGGAGCCAGGCTGAGAACAGACACAATCACCAGCAGAGAGCAGCGTTAGTACAGGATATACACAGAGGTTCTCAAACTTTACACATGCAGTGCCGCCAAAGGCATTTCTCCACCAAATCCAAGGTCTAAAACAGGACGTAACTGGGTCTGAAATGGAACTACACTTCTCCTCTTACAGAGAGTTAAAGATGGGTTGCCTTACTCACATAGCACCAGCCCTTAATTATTATTGTATGGTTCAATTTGTATGTGGTTTGGAAGTTTGGTTCCCCTTTCTCCCATTAAAAGTGCCTGTTTCCACTTTCCTCATACCCTTTAAGGCAGGGGTGTCAGTATTTAAAAACATAAGAGCTGGTTGGGGCCAAAAGTTTAAAAGTTTGTGTGTTTTGTATTCACAACTACAACTGATCCAAATATTTATCTATATATCTGAGTAACTATAACTTGTACTTACATTTTAGTTCACATTTTAGAACAGATACAATTATATGGTTATTTTTCTGAGACAATAGGCTTTAAAATGAAGTATAACATGCCATAGTAGCCAATCATCATCAATTCTGCTAATTACTGTGATAAAGAAAATTGAAAATCATTTCAAGGGCCACTAAAAAATGGTCTTGAACAGACATAACGTTACATAATTCGCACAAATATCATTACGTTGCTCTTACCTAACACTCTCATAAGCAGAAACTGTATTCCTATGGCAAAAGACTTTTCTTCAGCAGGAACCGTTCTGTAAAATAGGAAAAAAATCATAATTGTCATTGCAAAGAGAACCATGAAGGGTTTCAAAATTCTGGAAACTTTCCATGGCAATTAGTGGTAAGGTATTAAAGGGAATGTATGGGAATAAACTGGGAAATGTCTAAATTGAAGGGTGGCTCTTCATTGGGAAATTAAATATAGTTAAGGAAAGTAGATTTTAGCATATCTTGACTAAAGCAAACGGATGCCATTGAAAAACACTTGAATATCCATGTCATTCCTCAACACATGCATAAAGCACACAAGAGCACGCCCCCTACTGGCCCTGTGTCTTCATCACATGTACAGAAGATGTAGAAGACGACAGTTTTGTCCACAGGCTCATATGTATTTAAAAACATCTATATATGCTTGGATATGCTACATTTTAATGACATTACAATAGATTTTCAGTTGTGGCATATTTCTAAAACTCCCCATCTTAACTTCCCATGGAAATTTACCGGAAACGTTCCAGAAATGTACCAGTCTTACCGCAGCAGCATCATGTACATAGGGTTGTGGGTGAAGCAGGCGATCAGAGCGGCTGCAGAGATGACGGATATGACGGGGAGCAGGAGGTGAGAGCAGCGGTTTAGACAGGGAGCAGGGAGGGCCTCACTCTGGGGCCCGGAGACACACCTGCAGTCTGTGTACCGCTGTGGAGAGAGAGTAAGGGGTTGATGAGTAAAATCACCAGCAGAGGGCAACGTTACCCAATAAAATACAGTTTAAATGACCCATATCATGCTTTTTGACTTTTTTCTGGTTTAAACATGATTACAGTGCTATTTGGCCCAGAGTCATTTTTTCATTGATTCCCTCAAGCTTTAGTTAGAGATTGAAATTGTGACGTGCACTTATCCGTGACATCAAAAGCCCGCCTCCAAGAGGTGATTGACAGCTGAGAGCAGCTGAACCAGTGAATCAGCGCCGTCTATGGTCAGTTGCCTCTCTCTGAGTCCAGCGTGTGGACAGTAAATACACGTTTGTGTTTGTCAGCTTCATGTCAACTTGGAGAAAATGTGTTTTTGGTGTAAATATGTGACGAGAGTATTTGGCCCGAAGACGAAGAATGAGGCGAGTGGGAATTAACTTTGTTCACGGGGATCTGCCTCGAATCTGTCAAGTCTGAAATCCTCGCAGATGTTTTTTCTGCGAGTGACGGTGACACAACAAAAGACTGTTCCAGAACTACGGCTACCATGAAACAGGACCTACTCAAAAGCTGATCTGGAAACCTGGTGTTATACCACTGTATCACTTAACTAAATAATCAGTGTCTGATTCTGGATTTTTGAAGTTTTGAGTGTTGTATGGTGTATCACCCAAACTATTATCACACATGTGCATAGGATGGACTGTAGAAAAATGAAAAGTCTGTTTAAACACGTTTTTGTAATATCTTTGTCTTGTCTCTGTTTTGTGCTGTTTCTCTGATTAATTATTAATTTTATTGACTGTGAGCTGGGTTTATGAGACAGGTTAGTTTAATCCTATGACGATGTGTTGTTGCAATAGTAATCCTGATCCTGTTTTTATTGCTGTACTGCACTGTGTCTTTGCCTGTGCAGCGCTTTAAAAGATTATACAAACAAAGTTTTTGAAAAATGCATCAAATTCTTATTTTTAAAAGAGAAAGTATATAATATTTATAGTTGTGAGGGGATTGGATTCCATTTCAAATCATGTACAGGTATTTTTTGTTTTGTATTATTTTAGTCTATATTCCTTTTAAAAAGTGTTTGTATATCTTGTGCATGTTTGAAATGAATAACTCAATAATTAAAAAAAACAGAATATTTTAGTAACAATATTGCAAAATTATTGATCAACTTTTTTTTTCAGAAACAGAAATCTGCAATATCAGTGGAAAAATATATTATAACTCGCACACCAAGGATAGATTGGTCTAAAATAATGTGAGGAAATAAGAAAGAAAGGATTAAGAACTATTACGAAATGATTAATGCACTTTGATAACCAATGAGGTTGGGGAACACTGGGACAGGCCACACGTGTGTCTCACCTGGACTTTGTGAGGGTTGTTGGGGTCTTTGGTGAAGTTGGTGCAGCCGGCGTGACACGGGGAAATGTACTCGACGCCGTCTGATCCACACACAGGGTGGAAGGCACTGACGGGACACGAGCAGTTGGAGTAACACCTGGAGGTCGACCTAAAGGAGAGATTTATTTAGAATGTTAAAAACAATGAGTCCACAGGGAGGATCTCTGCTGCTGTACATGTCAGTAAAGTCTGTAGGCAAAGCAAGTTTATCTGTATAGCACAGTTCATAGACAAGTCAATTCAAAGTGCTTCACAAAGCAAGATACACAATCACAAGATATACAGGCATTCAAATCATAGATTAAGTACATTCAAAAGACTGAAAATACAATCCCTCAGTTGTATGCACAGCTAAACAGAACTGTTTTTAACTAAGATGTACTTTGGCGCGAGGCCATGGAGCGACTAGTAACAAGCAGAGCTGCTTTAAAGTCAAGGTGAAATGCTAGAATCAAGTAGTTTGTCTGGATTCAAGTACACGGTGGCTGAGTGGATAGCACTCTCGCTTCTCAGCAAGGTCCTGGGTTTGAATCCCGGTTGGAACAGGGCCTTTCTGAGTGTGTTTCCCCTACCACTAAGACATGCACAGTAGGTATGAATGTAAAAGAGAGTGAATGGATGGTGTTGATTGGGGGCTGATGCACCAGTGTGTTCGGCGACTCGCTTCCGTCATCACCGTGTGTGGAATGATTGGAACAAACTCTGAACATTGTAAAGCTCTTTGGGTGACCTTGGTCTGTAAAATGCGCTATATAAATATACATTACTTACTTGCATTATTACTGCCTAAATGTGAGATTCACCAATAGAACAAGCAAGAATGTATTTCGAGCTCTATTTCGACCTTGAGAGAATTCTCACTGAGCGTTAAGATATTTAAGACTTTTGTTCCGTTATTTGAAACTTGTTTTTTTATGTTACATTCTATGTTTAGGGTTGTGACAATTGAATCTTAACACAATCTTGTTTCTCTTTTTTGTTTTTGTCATTTATACAGCGCCGCCCATGGAGAATATAAGGCCTGGTTTGTCTGTGATAAAGAGCTACAGAGACCTTCAGAACTGACCCGTCCAGATGTGTGTTGACTTCAGACACTCTCTGTGTGGCACATCCCATGAAGAACAGAGGGACACAGAGCAGCGTGGACAGGACCAGCATGAGCACCGAGAAACGAGGGATGTTCTTCAGAGACAGATTGGCTTTTTTCATGATCACTCCTCCAACCAGCATCCCCACTGCCACCGCAGGCAGATTCATGGCTCCTGCGAGGAGAGAAGGTAAACAAGATTATATAGTTAGATAGATAAAGTAACACACACAACAAAACATCAAACCATTCAAAAGAGGTCACTGGCAAAAAAAGGAAAAAACAGCTAGACATTGCACAACGGTTGAAATAAAATATATAATAGAAAAAGTAAAACATTATGTACACATAAAAGCACAATCAACTCAATACAGACCCACGAGCAGAGTGCTGTAGGCCGCTGTGGCTCCGTACTGTCGCTCCAGGAACTTGTTGAGGAACGTGGCGAGTCCCGCGATCACAGACGAGAAGCAGCACTGAGCCAGAACCAGCAGCAGGAAGAGCGGGCTGAGCAGCAGGCGGCAGAACAGCCGAGGGAACACTGCAGAAAACACATTTACAATCAAAAGTACTGTCGTCTTTTTGGGTTTTTGCCATGTTACAACCAGAGACATGAAGTTTGACATTGAGCCTTAGATCATGATGATTGAATTCTTATGAACAATGATAATGCATTATTGCACTGATTATTCACTTATATCAGGCATGTCAAACTCAGGCCCGTGGGCCGGAGACAGTTTTCAGTGGCCCTTGAAATTATGTTCTATTATCTTTATCGCAGTTAACTTGCAGTGTTTCCCATTGGCAAATCTTGTTTAAAGGCAGTTAAGATACATTTTGCAACATTCGAGGAATGTTTAAATAATTTGTCATCACTTGTTGCAGTGAAGGTTGTGGAAGGCGACTGTTGAACTTACTTTTGAGAAATTCCTGTAAAGACACTTCCCGTTTCTTCAGATCACTGCTTACGTCATTGTCAGGTTCAACCACCTAAACAAAGAGCAAAATGTAACACTAGGTTTTTAAGACTCAGTGTCCGGCTAATGTGAACGAACAACAGCTGATCCGGAAACAAGATTAAAGCTGAGGAGAGGGCTGAGTGGGTTTAGCAAAATACTGGCTCTGATTGATGAGACAAGAATATTTTCCATATTATAGGATTTTTTTCTCCAGGTCGGGTTGTAGTTACTGTATGTAGTTAAACTTCAGCTTGAATCTTTTGCCGTTTGAAAGAAAAAACATTATTATTACCCAATATGAGCCAATGAGATCTGCGCTACTCAACTGTAGCCAAGAATTTAAAGCTGGGGAATACGACATTTGTCATATTTGCCAGAAGAAAACTATACTGCATAAATAAAAGACTATTTGACACTTTGGGCACAGAACTGATTGACCGAGGGAGGGTGGTCCTCTCATTTTTACTTTTCTGTTTCTGAACGTTTACCTGGACATGAGACAGAGGCAAACAATGCAACAATTTATGCAACTAAATTGTGGAACAGTCTTCCTGAAAATGTGAGACAGGCTTCCACTACAATGTTCAAATCCAGATTAAAATCAGTGAAGGATTGTATCTTCACTCTTTCTATGTACTGTGATTATTTATGAGTGTAATCGAGCGTGATTGTATCTTTGAGTGGCCTTGAGTGTGCAAAACAAATAAACTTGCCTTGCATTGACATTGTGGTTTTAATCTTAAGTACGTTAATTGTAGCGCAATCTATATTATGATTCACAGTAGATTGATAGCTGAAATTTTAATTGTTAAACTTGCAAAAACATGCTAAAGAATAAGACTATAATATTAGTTTTGAGCAAAGAACATTGACAATATTTTGTTTTCACCTTCTCCTTTGCAGAAGTCTTTCTTTGCTGCGGAACACGGACACAGTGACATTTTTCGGAAGTGAAAAGCTCAAAGCCTCCGCTCTCTAAACTGGGCACGGAAAAATAAAAATTGGCATTTTCAGACGTTTCGACTTGAGCGGCTTTTATGGATTTGGATTACAACAGCTACATGGAGGCTTGCAGATTTTACCATTGGGATTAAAGCATGTATAACCTCCATCACGTTCAACCCACCACAGGATTAGAGAAGAAGAGAATGGCAAAAGCTTATCAACAAAAATTATGCTTAGAAAGATATATAATTGCCAATAGACTAAAGGCAAGGTAAGTTTTTTTTATATAGCACAATTCTTACTCAAGGCAACTCAAAGTGCTGAACAAAACCAGATAGAGACACAGCTGGATTTGTGAATGTTTTAACCTGGATTTGAACATTGTCAGAGAAGAAGCCTGTCTCACATTTTCAGGAGGACTGTTCCAGATTCTAGCAACATGAATCTGAATCGCAGCCTCACCATCTTTAGTTCTAAACACGAGGAGGACTAGATGATATAGTACATACTGTTTACTTCTGAATGCACTGGAAACGGCAATAAGTCCGAGGTCGCTCTGAAACAGTTGTTGTTTTGTGTTTTACAATTGTTAATTTTCTTGCTTGTTTCTTTCTGTAAATGTTGCTTCAGTCCAGTGTTCATGGTTTTACACTGATCCAGACCAAAGCAGAGAGGCTGTACGGCCCCAATTTAGCAGAGCAAGTGCAAATCCATAGGGTGAATGCAATTTTTTTGTTTTAATCGCTAAAACAGCATTCAGCATTTCACTCTGAACCAGAGCAGAGGAAATGGGTCAAACCAAGCAGACTCTGCGTACATCAACCAGAGGAAGCAGCTCATCACCAGCGGCTACTCCACCTCTGCTGCTGTGACCTAAAGTGCTGTTGCGTTAATAATGTTACTAACTTTTAGAACATTGTATTTATTTGTTTTGCTATTGTGGAGGAAGTGTTTCTGCTGCTGGACACCTCAGTTTCTCGGGGATCAATAAATTATCTATCTATATCTATATCTATCTATACTGTATGTTGTATTAGAAACCAACATGCACCACTATATATTTCTGGTATATGTCTTATATAGATAAGGATCCTGTGCCTACATATGAGTCCATGATGAAGTCTAAATAATAAATAAGTCATACTGTGCAGCTGGTTTCAGAGAATGTATAGATGGACACTATCTATCATAATCTAGGGTCTAGAATGGCAGTACCTGTTGTCATTGTTGATGTGTGATGATGTGTGCAAATTTCATGAAAAAATGGTCCAGGTGCTTTTTAATAATCCATCAGTAAAGCCAATTACCGGCAATAACTGTTCCTCAGCCTTTCCCATCGCCAGAGGCTCGAGGCAGGGGTTCTCTCTTTAGTTATTCTTTGTTTGTCGTTTCACTGGAGCTCCTGGCCCAAGTAATTAGTTTAACAGCGTGAAACTCTACATTTCTTTTTTCTCAGGCCTTTTTTGTACTGGATGTGGGAGATGTTCTTCCTCTATTTCCAATGAATTTAGGGACATTTAGTTACATATATGAGACATTGTAAGCTGCCTGTGGGAATCCCAATTATCAACAGTTTACTTAGGAGTCTCTGTGTTCTTGCAATGTTAATGTTATTTATGAGAGAGCTGGTCTTTTTTCCTCTACACATTATCTTTGTTCATGTGTCTTATTAGTCAAAATCAATGTGTGACTCTGCATATTTTCTCAGTTTTAAGATTCAACTTTGATTCCTCAATTCAAGAGTGCCCATACAATTCAGTTCAATGTATTTTTGTTATAGCCCTATATCACAACAGTAGTCGCCTGGGAAAACTTCACTAAGGTGTCGATTCCTAAAAAACAGATCAGAGAATAAAACGGCTCCAACACAGGAAATACAAAAATAACAAACACATAGGTCATTGGTCCGTAGGGGGCGAATGACCAATGTCCATAAATGTTAATAAATGTCCATGAACGTCCTTCAGGGTCCTGGATCAACACTGTCCTTAGATGTGTGTGTGTGTGTGTGTGTGTGTGTGATAATCCAGCAAAATGCTTTTCACTTCTCCTCACACAACAATAGAGGGCAGTATTGTATGAGCTCTGTGCATCTCCTTATCCTCACAACAGAAGGGGGAGAAATCTGTGACTGTTCAGTTATTGCCGTGTTCCCTTTTCAAAGAAAGACCTGGATTTGGTGGTGCAGATGGGTTTTGTTACACACAGAAAATATTAGGAAGAAATGTCCAGTAGTCCAAGATATACATTCAAGACATCATTTACCAAACGTGCGCTGATAAGACCACAACATTACAAGAAACTACTCATGTCCTTATCTGTAAATGCACCATTAATGCTCACATCTGGAGATGACACATGTTTTCTCTGCTGCTGTGTATGTGAACACTGTAAAATGTGGCTTGACCATTTTTCAACATCAGAGACAAACGCAAGTTTTGTCCAAACTATGGCCCCAGGGAAAAGTGAGGTCCTCAGACGGCTCATATTTGTACCATCCTTTTCTTGACCTTTTTTATTATACACAATTTAGTTCAAAAGCATATTAAGCAAAAAATAACAAGTTTCTTATTTTTTTCCATAAGATAGATACAGCGGGTCATGGTCGGATTTGCTCAAAACTAATTTTATTTATCAAGTTTATTTCTGCTAGGAAAAACAATTATTCTTAAATTATTATTTACCAAGAAGTTAGATGCCCCGGCTTTAGGAAAAGAAAACAATTGTGTTACTCTCTCTAACCAGTGGTAAATTCAACCATTTGGAAATGTTACTGCTAGCTTCTTGACGTCACCACCCTCCACTCGGTGTGCATTAGATGGATAGATAGCTGGATAGACACTTTAATGTCAAGAGTCCAGAAGCAAAAACACAACATCCATAAAAACATAAATAATTTCATAATTCTAAAAGTCGTTAATTATAGCTATACACTGCAAAAAATATACAAAATATAAGTAAACAATGCTTGGATCAACAAGATTTGCCAATGTGACAATCAAAAAGTCTTTAAGTTTTAAAAAGATGCAAGAAATTCCAAGAAATGTCTTCCTTGGAATGAGACATAAATTGCAACACCACTTGACGTAAGACTAACCGGCCTGTTCCATTGGCACATCTTGTTTTAGGAAAGTCAACTTACGGTAAAAACCCTTGATTCCAGTAATTGTTACCTTACACTTTGTCACTTTTTGCAGTGTAAAGAGTACATTTTAACTCAGAGAGATATATCTTAATGATATATCGAGGGTTGCCAGATAACTTGAATATCATTAAGTTCCATCCATCCATCCATTTTCTTCCCCTTAATCCATTTCTGGGTCGGGGGGGGGTGGCAGTCAGAGCTGCACCCAGTACACAGAGCACCAGCCCCACACTGATCCTCCTGCAGGTGGTGAGTCCACAGGAGCTGAGATCTTTCAGCGGGTACTTCGGGCAAAGTGGGGTTAAGTGTCTTGCCCAAGGACACAAGGACAGTAGACATCAGTGGCAGTCGATGGAGAAGGTGTCGAGGTGGGAAACGAACCCACAACCTTCAGGCCTAAAGGCCAATGCTCTACCAACTGAGCTACTGTAGCCCCTCTTAACTTATTATTAAGTTATGCAATTAAAAAACATGGGCTTACATTCTGCATTGTAGGCATTCGGCGAGGAAAAAAGAAGTAAGGCAGAGAGGTGAGGAAGAGGCACCCCGATGTGACCAGGAGCCCCATCCACCAGGCCCCCACCCAGCGAGGATCGGCCGGACTCAGCTCTTGCCCGGCCTCTGAAAGGGGGAGAGGTGGTCAGATACCGCACCGTAGGGAGGCGAGGAGATGAGAGAGAGTGTAAATAAAGCATTACCAGAGTTTGATCTGTCGATGTCCACATAGATACGGAGCATAACAGAGCCCAGCAGGTAACCGAAGGCAGGGCCGAACACGGAGATGGCAAACAGGATCGCTGGGAAAGAGAGAAAAACAGATTGGAATATATGTTACGACCTGCAAAAAATGTGTGTGTTCAGTATAAATCAAACGCTTGAGTTGTTTTGGACATATAGTGGCTTGCAAACGTAACAGAACAACTCAAGCGTTTTGCACAGTTTGTCATATTTACGACCACAACTTAGTAATAGTAACAGTGAGGAGGAAGCAAAACGATACATGATTTTATGTTTGGAAAGTGGGGCTTGCATAAGTTTTCAGAGCCTTTCTCCAAGTGAGTTACAAAGCCTTTGGAAATGTCCTAATTCACTTCAATTCAATGTGTTTTTGTGTGAATCTAAATCACAACAGCAGTTGTCGCAAAAGACTTTACAGCGTTGTCGATTCCTCAACCACAGATCACGTGATCAAACAGCATGAACACAAATGCAACAATAACAAACACATAGAAGCCATTGGTGCATAGGGAGTGGGGTGACCAATGTCCATAAATGTTAATAAATATCCTAAAACATCTCAGATTATCACTGTCCTTTGACCTTCCTGCATTGGCAAAGGAACCACTCAAAAACCAAGTCGGAAAAAGGTGAGAAACCTCAGGAAAGCCCACATTGAGAGAGAGAGAGATCCACTCCCACGGACTCAACAACAGCTGAATGCTTCTATCGGGTCCTAATGATTAAATTGTGTGTAATCTACTCCCAGTGTAATTACAGCTGTTCTGCGAGAGCTATGTTTAGAGTGTATTTATATTGGTCAGGGGCCAAATTAAATAAATAGGAACTGTTCGGGGGCTTTTCTTATAATTGTTTGTTACATTGTGAAGGTATTTTGACCCGACTTCTATTTAACATGAGTTTCACTACTGTTTTCTGGTTGATTTTGTGGGGTTGAGTGTCTTGCCCAAGAACACAACAACAGCAGACATCAATGGGAGTAGGTCTAGAGGTGGACTCGAACCCACGACCTTCAGGCTCACAGGCCTGATAAACGATGATAAATATTGTAACTATTTAATATCTAATGATGTGTTGGGTTAATATTTTCAATAAATTGAATGTATTTGCTTTTCTTAGAAGATGGATGATGTATAACGTACCATGCGGCTAGAGTCTGGAACCGTCTTCCTGAGAATGTGAGACAGGCGTCTACTCTGGCATCTTTTAAATCTAGGCTCAAAACAATTCTGTTTAGCTGCGCATATACAACTGAATGATTTTATCTTTTCATCTTTGTTTTTATCTTTAATCTTTTTAATGCACTGTGACTATTTATGATTTTAGTCCCATCTGTGATTTTAATGTTTAAAGGTTTTTAATTTTTGTGATTTTATTTTTAATGTTTTTAATATATCTTGTGCTCTTAATGTGTTTGATTTATGCATGATGTGATAGGGGATGTGAAGCGCTTTGCGTTGCCTTGTGTAGGAAAGGCGCTCTACAAATAAACGTTGATTGATTGATTGATGGAAGCTCATTACCATAAATGCTGCAAGTTCATAATAATAAATGAAAATCCCTTTAGGGGCCACTAAAAACGGTCTTGCCACTGCAGATTTGGCCCACGAGCCTGAGTTTGACAGGACTGCTCTAATCCAACTTCTAGTAATAACATATCAGTCATACACTACACAAAGAGTTATGGACAGACACTGGTACAATCACAACAGCAGTCATCTCTGAGGACTTGGAGGACACAAAATTGTTGATTCGCCAACAACAGAAAAGTGAATCAAACAGTTCAAACACGGGAGGGTTTAAGGACAGTGGTGATGATCCAGGACACTCCTCATTCAACGACATTTATGGACATTGTTCATCTGCCCCTTATGGACCAATGGCTCTATGTGTTATTTTTGAATCATTGCATTTCTTGTGTTTGAACTGATCTGTGTTGGTGAATCAAAGCTTTGTAACGTTTTCCGATGTAACTACTGTTGTGATTTTTGTCCTATACAAAAAAAATAAAAATGAATTTAATTGATAGACTAGAATAGATCATACAGTGACCATTCACCGATGTAGAGCGGGGAGTTCCCGGGGTGGGCGAAGTCATCGATGTAGGAGATGCCAAAGGGCTGGATGGGCACCGAGCCGATCCCAAACAGCAGCTGAGCGAGGCCCATGAGCAACCACAAGGTGGTGCTGTCGGACAATCGCCTCGTCTCGTCCCGGCCACAGGAGTCCGGGCGACTGCTGTTACTGTGCAGGTTACAGATGTCATGGCGACCTGAGGAGAACCGGAGAAACTGGATCAAACAGAGCGACAGAACATGTGTGTGAATAAAGCTGATAGATACCATCGTGTTAAAAATATAATTTCAAATCTCCAACCATTTTCTTCCCCTTCATCCATTTCTGAGTTGGGTGGTGGTAGTCAATTCTCTTTATTTACAAAACAGTCAGAAGCAAATGAGTAATTTTGATGCGTTTATGTATTCACTTTTTAAGTAACTTTCACTCTTTTTTTACTGAATTATATATACAGTAACAATATATAGATAGAGCTAAAAAGAATGACAAAACAGTGAATCATGTAAAATTCACCAAGAGATGCCGAGATAGAAAAATACAGAAATTTCAAGTTTTAATTTCCTGTGTAAATAAAGGAGGAGACATTTATAATGAAGCCCTGGAGGTGACTGTGGACCTGGACTCCGGAAGTTCTCTCTCCTCTCTCTCCTAAAGTTCATTTCAGGAGCAGGGACGTGTTTTTTGTTTGTTTATTTTATCAAGCATTTCCTCCAGAGAAAAGTCTAATTAGAAATGTTTGAGATTTCCAAGTCCAAGAACAAATATGCACTATGTTGTAATCACTTTAGATATGTGAAATTAACATTGGCATTTCATGTTTTAGAACGTGAAATTAGCACTGATAACAATGGATACAAATATATACGTATGTCCACGCTATGATGCACTATGAGGGGGGGACTGAGCAAAACACTGCTATAGTGTAGTGGCACCCAGTGAAGGGGCTTCTGTCTGGCGACCGTGAGCCCCTCCAAGAGAACCCTTTTTCTTGCCCTGTCATTTAAAGCCCTGGACACTCACTGACCATGTGGGGAAAGGTCCCAGTGACTCCACCATGACACACACTGAAAGCTGGGTCCAGGTTAGTCTGCCCAGGTCAACAGTTGCCTCTGTAGATGGTCCGGGGGTAAGAAAGAAAGTGTAAAAGGAGGGTAATTGTTTGCTCAGTAAAAAAAGTGATGAAAACTAAGTCCAAAATTATTAGAGCACATTCTTTGCCAATAAGACTAGCCAAATTATCACCAAATTCAGGCAGAATTATATGGCCATGTTTATACGTTACATTTATTTATAAAAAAAATTGTGTACTGTTTTTTGTTTATTGAGTTTTGTCTGTTTTTTTGCATCATATGATTTATATAATTTAACTGCATTTAATTACCTTGTTTACTCACCTGTGCCTTTGCCTGAAATAAATGAATGAATGAAATGAAATGAATTATTTTGTTTTCAAAAGATACAAGACATGTCTCCTTTGGAATGAGAAAATAAAGCAACAGTTCTTGAAATAAGACTTTGTCCCATTGGAAACTTTTGTTTTAAGACAGTGAGAATGTGCTCAAACTAAGATTAAAAACACTTGATTCAAGTAATTATTACCTCATATTTGATCATTTTTTGCAGTGCTAGCTTTAACACTGCATGAATTGTTTTATTTATTTTCTTCTGTTTTTTATTTTTACTTTGAATTATGTTTATATATTTAGTATTTTGATGTTTTTAGTTATTCTAAAAACTAATTTACAATCTTAATATTGTTTGTATCTTATTTAGCTTGCTAAACATAAATCTGGTAGGCCTTTGTGCAGCACTTTGGAAAGGTTCACTTCATAAATATTGTGTGTGATGTGCGACGGTCAGTGTGGAGCCAGTGGCTTCAGCGCTGATGTGTGAGGCGTCTGTTCTCTCTGTGGCTTTAGGACAGAGGACACACACACAGTGACCCATCACTCACAGTTTAGTGTCGGATTACTCACAATGCTCCAAATACATTTAATGTGTAATCGAAAAAACCACAAGAAAGAAGGTCATCTATGAGACAGATTTATTGTATTTATTAAATTTGGATGGGACAGTGTGTATGAATGAACAGAAGGAGCTAATGTGTCGCTGATGTCTATCTGTAATCCCAGATAGACATACTTTGCATTAGGAGTTTACTTTGTATCTAAACCAGTGGGGGCGGATCCCGGCCAAGCCGGCTCGGCGATCCAAGATGGCGCCGTATTCAAATGAATGGTTGTGCTCAGTGGCGCTTTGTGCCGGCATGGGGGCTGAAAAGATTAGCAGAAGTCGCCTGGAACTCGCAAAGATCCATGGGAAACTCGCCTGTATTTGGGCATCGTCTGGTCCTCCCGGTTCTGCGCAGTGGACGAGCTCCCAGTTCATTAGAGCGGGAGTTAGAGAGGGAGCCAGACGGGCAGAGTTTGTTGCACTAAAGTGTGGATTTAAAGAAAACCGAAAGATTTAAGAAGAAAAAAAGTTCAGGATGACAAAGGGACACTAAAATCCCCACAAAATCCGATCTTTCTGAAAGCTGTAGGTTCTCTGTCAGCTGAGGTCGCGCTGTTTTAGTTTACATTGAGATCTATGGGGAAAATTCTGGGTAGCCCACATGAATTAGTCTGGTTTAGTCTGCAGCACCGCAAGAATCCCCCGAGCACATGGGTTCTATCCAGTTATTATAATAGATGCATGATCCCGGCTCATAAACGTCCACGGGCACGTGCGCTGACATACTTGCAATACCACCCCGGGCCAGTGGGGATGGACCCAGAAAGAGAAATATCCAATGCTTTTGTATGGCATATTCTTTTCTCTCGAAAACGGCTTTGCAGGATAGTCCAAAAGTCGACTAGGCCCAAAACTACGTGCAAATGCTCTAAATACTATTATACATAACTGACACCAAAGTATTCTCAAAAAACATACATTTAATGGAAAAACAATTAAGGAATAAAACCCAACATTTATTTTATATGTATAACACATATTATGACAAATGTAGTTCTTATAGTGATTGTCTGGAGTTTGTCAGAAAGAGAGACAGAGAGGTACTTGATTTGAAAAAAACAACGCAAGCTCCCTCCCACTTAGTTTCCGCAACACATGTAAATGTTAATCAGAGAACACATTATACATATACATTATTAACACACATGCACGGAGGTTTTCAGAATTATTTGTGAACGTTTTAATGAAAAAAATAAGGTTTTTATGCACAAAAAAAGCGATCGCGGCAAACCAGGAAGTGCTATTATCATGAATTGCACATTATAGAACACATTTGCAGAGGATCTGATTATGGATATAGGTTCAGTATATAAATTATTATGGATATAGATTCAGTATATACATAAGTACCTCAGCGCAGATGTTCAGAATTCTTTGTTCAGTTTTCCTGTAGTTCCAGAGCCTAATAGAGGCTTGATTTGGAGGCTCCGTGAAAACAAACAACTGAGCATGCGCGCAGCTGCGAGCATCAGCGCCGATGATTGACAGCCCTTGGCATGACTTTGACGTTAACCTCGACGGCACCGTGGATTCTGAACTATAGCTAAGAGCAGGGAAGGCGGGACTTACCCGTAATATTAGAATTAATAAAATTACTTATTTTATATCAACATTTAAGGCCAGGAGGTCAATTTAACATATTTCCTAAAATGTGTAATTCATTTAGAGTTACAGACTATCACTTTAATAAGAAACATGGTTAAACATTTGAATTGAGAGTTTGGCTTGAATATGAATGTCATGATATGGACTTTTTGGATTATTTTTACCTGGTTTTATTTCACTTTATTTGTTCTCTTAAGTTTGATTCCTGTCAGTCCTGTTGATTATTTGCCCCGCCCTAATGTTACCCATCTGTGTCTCCTGTGTGTATTTATACCCTGTGCTTTTCCCCACTTGTTGTCCGTCTATTATCTCTACCAAGTTTGTCTTGTCCTGTTTTTCAGTTCTGAATTGTTTGTGCTTTTTGTCACTCTGGATTTGGATTTTATTAAATGACATTTGATTTTAAGTCCTGCATTTTGGGTTCCCTTTGTCTTCATTTCCCCACATGACAATGAAAGTCTTATCATCTCAGTTTTACAGTTTTCAAACAGAAATCATGGTTTATGGACCTACTTTGCAGAGACAAAAAGAAAAAGAATTGTCTCATGTTAGAGCTCTGTTAAATTACAAAATAACTATTCCTGAGGGTCTTCCACTTCTCCTGTTTGTATATATACAGTAATTTCCGGTACATTCCGATGCAGATGTGATAGAGACTGTGTACTCACTGTGCAGCGCGGAGTCATACTCGTACGGCTGCGACACAAAGTGAGGCAGCGTGAGGAGGAGGGCGCTCACCGACATCAGCAGACCTCCCAGTCCGATCACACGAGGTCTGTGCACTCTGTGGCCAAAGTAACTCACAAACACGATCAGGACCGTGTTGCTCACCTGCACAAGGGCACAAACACAGAGCATGAGGAACACAGTGCTTATCTCGATGTATGTGGTTTTGTACTGCATTTATTTTTTACCATTATGTGAAAACTAAACTTCTTCTGTTCTCGCTATCCTAGTATGTTTGTTTAGACAAGGTGGGACCCCATTTATACAGAGCTTTTCGGGGACTGCATTTTTTTCACAAAGTGTCACAAAGATATAGACAATTTTTTTAAATGTATTTGATATCTGTGGTGATGTGAAAATAACTGAATAAATACATTCTTGGTATGTGATATCGGTAATATTTTCATAGTGATATTAAAGTGATTGTCTGGAGTTTGTCAGAAAAAAGAGAGAGAGCCACATTATTCTAATAAAAACGACCCAAGCTCCCTCCCCCTTCCTTTCTGATTGGTCTACATCTACGTTTCCGTAACAATCAATCAACACATTTTAATACACAAAAAAAGAGATCGAGGTAAACCCGGAAGTAGTTATTGACATTAATTTCACATTATAGGACACATCTGCAGAGGATCTTATTATGGATATAGGTTCAGTATATAAATGGGTAAATCAGCGCAGATGTTCAGAATTCTTTGTTCAGTTTTCATGTAGTTCCAGAGCTTAATGGAGGCTTGATTCGGAGGCTCCGTGAAATCAAACAATTGAGCATGCGCTCAGCAACGAGCATCAGCACCGATGATTGACAGCCCTTGGCAGCACTTGATTGGTTAAAGTGGACGGCATCGTGGATTATGAGCTATACCTAAGAGAAGGGAAGGCGGGACTTACCCGTTATATTAGAATTCATAAAATTACTTATTTTATATAAACATTTAAGGCCAGGAGGGTCAATTTAATACAATTCTGAAAATCTGTAATTCATTTAGAGTTCCAGACTATCACTTTAAAGTCACAATATCTACAGTGCAAAAAATGTCAAGAAGTCAAAAATTGCTCAAATTTGGCAAAATAGTTTGAGCACATTCTGACTGCCGTGCAACAAGATTTGCAAATGGAACAAGCAGAATTATCTTGTTTTTAAAAAGATAAGATCCTTTATTCGTCCCAAAGTGAGGAAATTTCAGTGTCATCGTTGCGCACATTATAGCAGAAACAGAAGGAAATAAGAGCACTCAGATTGCACACATCACTTAAGATAAAAGACAAAAAGATGGTAAAATAGAATAAGATAAAATAAACAACTCCCTTGGAATGAGAAAATGAAGCACCAGCTGGCTTTAAACGTTGCATCATTTTTTGTAGTGTGGTCAAACCTCGTGCAGGGAGGAGATGGTCCCAGACGAGTAGCTGCTGAGGCCGTAGCGGCGCTCGATGGTGGTGATGGTGCTTTTGAAGTAGGAGCTGTAGAGGAGCTGCGAGAGCTGCAGGAGGCCGTGGCACAACACAAAGGTCTGCAACACAAACAAGGCTGCGTTTAAAATTATTGGTGCTTTGTGCAAATTAACTTTTATATTCCATCTTCTGCATGAGGGATCTGGGAAATATTCTCTTTTACTGCAACTTCAAGACAGGGATGAATAAAAAACTTTTAAAAAAAGTAAGAAAATCAAGATTAGGATTTCATTATTATGTTGGGAATTTGACATTGGTTCATGCTGTGAGTTTTACTACAATAACAAATGAATCCAAAATAGTGAAGCTAAACTTGGGATCATTTATGTGAAAATCTGACCAAACCTGTGTCTCGTCGAGCCCAAGACAAACACGATAAAGTGCTTCAGCCAGAAGTCATAAAACGCTTTTATGAGAACATGTCTTGTGAATCTACTCAATAAATTCTTTTGTATTCAATACGTCAGACTGAAACCAATGAAACTAACTATTGAAACCAATTGAAAGACTTTGCAAAATTGTAATGAACACAGCTTTTTAGAGCAGCCGCAAGTGGAGACCTAAAAGACAACCCTAGACACAAAAAGATACTAAATAAAATAATGTATGGATCGCACAATGGAGAAATGTACAAATCTTGGATGTGTAAACAACAGCACTGCACTAACAATTACTGTGTTTTTACTGTGTATTCATTGTTTCTCTGCTGCGTTAATCAATCAATCAAATGTTTATTTACAGAGCACATTTAAAACAGCCTCGGATCACCAAAGTGCTGTACAGACACGTGAATAAAACATTGTGCTTTGTCAGTTTTGTTCCAACTGTATCTCAAAACATGTTATGTGAATGAGCTTTGGCTTTAAGCACCGTTATGCATCAGACTATAACAGTTTGTCTAAGTTTTCTGTATCGGTCCCTGCACTCAAATAAACCAGAGACATAAAGAAATCCCATGTTTAAGCAGTCAGCAATCAAAGCGGCACCTAACTTTTAAACCACAAATTTTTGAACGTAATAAACTAATCTCCCTATAGTTCCTCGCTCTCAAAACCGTTTGGTTCCATCACAAGTTTCTCTGTGACATCTTTAGATCAGCTTTTTCAGACCGAAAAGTGAAAAACCGAGGACCACCCACACTCAGCCAATCAGCTCTGAGCCCAAAGGATCAAATGACTCACAGGTGCACCAATGATAAGATGTTGTACTTTATCCAAGATTTTTTACTGCTTGTTATGGTATTATTTAATTTTAAAAAGTGATGTTCCCCAGTTTGAATATGGAAATGCAGAACTTTGATTAAACGACTCAGATTATGTTACAAAACAAAACATTTTTCTGTAAGTACAGAAGCATTTTGAAAGAATTCTCCTGAACGCCACACGCTGGGACTTGTACAAATGAGCAACTACATTTTTGTTCCCGACCCCGTCTTTCATTCGGAGTTTGAGCAGTGACTAGAAACTCAAATCACTCTTTCATATTTGTCTTTGAAAGAGTGATTTGAGTCTGAGTCGAGCTCCGCGAGGCATTCACTGACAGTGGGAGAAGACGGCGCTGGCTTTACTGCTCTGGGGGTTCTGAATGCATGAGTGACGCTGAAGATGCAGCCCAGATATGAAGGGATTTAACTGAATAAACAAGGCGAGATCCAAGGCTGGAGCAGGTCCATCCAGGCTCCCGGGGCAGAACACTTAATGCGCTGCTAATCCTGGTTTTGTGCCTCGCTAAACCACACACAAATAAACGTTACACTTGCTCAAAGTTCAGCAGGAGCCTGTGTCCAAAGGAAGTCAACACGTGAGCTTTTGTCTCAGATCAAAAAGCAAATATCATTTAATTTATCAAGTTTATACAACTTTAGAATCGGGTCAGAGCGGGGCGACCTGTACCAGACTGAGAGAAACACGATAGCAATAATAGGGCACTTGGGAAAGGTTCCAACAGCTTTGAAGCACCTTAACAGCACATAACCCTCTGTTCAAACTTTTGCACTGAAATTTAGCTTTGTGACAATCTCTCTTGTTCTTGTTATCTTAAATGTTGTGACTTTACTGTGTCTGCCTGTTTTTAGATGATTTTTGCTGCAAAACCAAATTCCAATAAAGATAACTTGAACTTGATAACTGCTGCTGGAAATATGTTTGATTCAGGTTTTGGCAAAGAGGCAGTGTTCCAGTGTCCTCGGCGCTGATGCTCGTAGCTGCGCAAATGCTCAATCGTTTGCTTTCACGGAGCCTCCGAATCAAGCCTCCATTAGGCTCTGGAACTACATGAAAACTGAACAAAAAATTCTGAACATCCGCGCTGAGTTACCCATTAATATACTGAACCTATATCCATAATCAGATCCTCTGCAGATGTGTCCTATAATGTTCAATTCATGTAATTAACTACTTCCGGGTTTTTCTTTTTCTGTGCATTAAAACATTATTTTTGTCATGAAAACGTAAACAAATAATTCTGAAAACCTCTGTGCATGTGTATTAAAAATGTATATGTATAATGTGTTCTCTGATTAACATTTAAATGTCTTTATTGATTGTGACAGAAACATAGGCGTAGACCAATCAGAAAGGAAGGGGGAGGGGGCTTGGGTCATTTTTTTTAAATCATGTAGCCCTCTCTCTTTTTTCTGACAAACTCCAGACAATCACTTTAATACTGGCCCATACCAAGGCCCGAGGGCCAATTGCGGCCATTTCTGTAATTAAATGCCATCTACCCTGCTATTAAAATTGTTACATTTTATTTAGGCCGTTTACCTTTTACTCTAACATCTTGTTTGCACCTTGAGACAAAGCTAATTCGTAGTTTTTCACTTCCTGTTCCTTACAATGAAAATACAAATAATTCACACCGTTCACACCGGATCATGTGCCGCGGCGAGTTTACGGAAAAGTCAATGGTGAAGGTACGTTGGTGTGAATATTTGTTTTTGCGCGTGGGTACGGCGACGAGAGGCATGCGGCGAACACAGGATATAAACATTGTTCGACTTCCTCACTCGGCCGACGTGTGGCAACCAATCAGAGGGCAGCCAGTGGTCCCGGGAAACAAGCTGGTCCAAACAGGAAGACAAAGACACCAACACACAACAACCAAAACAAGGATTGAACCCTTTAAGATCATAAACCCAAGTTCCCTGTGTCATCCAGCCGACTTCAGCTCTATGCACGCCATACCTTGCTGGAAAGCTCTAGAATCCTCAATCCAGCAGTTGAATGTATTTGTATATACCAGGGGTCGGCAACCTAGGGCACGCGTGCCACATGTGGCACGCCGCGGAATAAACACTGGCACGCCGGTGTAACGCCGAGATACACTTCCTTGAAGAGATGCACTTCCCCAGCTGTTTATGATGTAATGTAAACCTGCGCATGCGCGTCTCACGGCAACCGAAGCATACCAAGATGGCGGACCGTGAATTGCTTTAAAAGTTGAAATACGAACGAATTAAGACACGAATGTCACTTTTAATGCAATTTGAGGCGAGATGTTGATGGTTCCGTTTTGTCACATGTGGGTTTTAAGAGTCAAAGTTTCGTGCAAAGTTTAGTTTAAGCAGTCAACTGCGCCTGTGAAACCACAAAGCTAATGTTTTCATAGCAGTCCGCGGCTGCTGACGTAGGCTGATGACGCGTCCTGTGGCCACTCTACACTCTTACACTGGTCTGTCGGGTTGATAATGGAAATAATAAATTTCATTCAATACATGTATCGTACTGTATTTATATGATTAACAATAGTGTGTTCAAACAAAATATTTAATTAGATTGATTTTTTTCCCCATTTTCCATTATCAACCCGACAGACCAGTGTAAGAGTGTAGAGTGGCCACAGGACGCGTCATCAGCCTACGTCAGCAGCCGCGGACTGCTATGAAAACATTAGCTTTGTGGTTTCACAGGCGCAGTTGACTGCTTAAACTAAACTTTGCACGAAACTTTGACTCTTAAAACCCACATGTGACAAAACGGAACCATCAACATCTCGCCTCAAATTGCATTAAAAGTGACATTCGTGTCTTAATTCGTTCGATTTCAACTTTTAAAGCAATTCACGGTCCGCCATCTTGGTATGCTTCGGTTGCCGTGAGACGCGCATGCGCAGGTTTGCATTACATCATAAACAGCTGGGGAAGTGCATCTCTTCAAGGAAGTGTATCTCGGCGTTACACCGGCACCTCCGCATTATTCTCACTGTATCTGTCCTGTTTTAAAAATAAGAGCATCTCCCACTTTGTCTGAGCGCTTTTTGATGGCCGGCACTAGGACCCAGCGGACACCACTGCGGGGATAAGCTGCTTCCCTCACACACACACACTGTGTGTAGCTGTGGGTGAAGCCAGGAGCCTGCAGCTGCAGGTGTATGCGAGATTTAAACTTCTTTTTGCACATTCAAAGTAGTAACTGGTGTGCCACTCACTGCAGACGCCTCCTACAATCACTGTGACACGCTGTCAACACTGTGTGCGTGAAATCAAAGAGGGAACTGGTGAGTTTAAGCATTTTTATGCTGCTCAGAGCTAGGATGCTAGCGCTAGCCTCTGATGCGATGTTGAACTCGAATATTGTTGTTCTCATGTTGATTCCCTGTGTAGCCGACTATGCCTTTTTATGTGCTCATGTATGGTTAACAGAGCCTGAAATTTGCTTGTGTGCTCTTGAACCAAAAGTATTAATACATTTATTTTTGATATGTGCACTGAACTGAATGAATTGTATTGTGATTTATGGTGCAGAGGATTAATTGTGAATTTTGAAGTGAGAATGAGCACTCTGATTATTGAGTATATATTTATTGAACATGTACATGTATTTTTGTAGTAGTGATATATTGCTAAATGAAACTGTTGGATATTTATATTGGTCCTGTCATGCAGGCCAGGTTCCTTGGATCCGTCCGTCCATATGGACTTCTTCTGATGGCGAGCTGCCCCAGGCCGAAAACCTAGAGATCATCAACCCTACAGTGCGGTAGGAGGCGAGCAGTCTCCCTCATACAACACCACAAACTGATACAATAACCTGAACTGGATTACTGCAAAGTACACGCTCCACCTTTTCAAACCAACCTGCCAAACCCAACTCAACCGGACTCTCTCACTCAAAACCCGTTCAATTATTTTTTGTAAATATTGTAAATATTGTGAATGTGGGGTGTGGGTGTGTGTGTGTGTGTAATCTATCCCCTGCCTTTGTAAATATCTATTAGAGGTGCAACGGTTCATCATTGATCCGTGATCTGTTCAGATCAACGTCTTCGGTTCGATACAGACGTGATCCGCGGTTTGATTTATGAAAAAAAAGTTGTGCGCATGTTGTTCAGTCCACACACAACGTAATCATGGCGAGCGGAGGAACTTGAAAGCCCTGCGTCATTTAAATCCCCGGTATGAGAGCATTTTGGCTCCACTGTAACTATACTGATGATTAAATAGTCGACAAATTTAATCACTGATCTTCCTGCAGGTGCTGAGTCCACATGAGCAGAGTTTATTACAAAGACAAAACTTTTTAGTTGAAAAATGAACTGAACCGTGGCCTCTGAACCGAGGAACGATCCAAACCGGGATTTTTTTCAAACCGTTGCATCTCTAATATCTATCTCTTAACATAATTCACATCTGGATCATACCACTGTCTCTGTCTGTGATTTTAAACACCTCTCCCTCTGTGAGCCCAATCTTAGCTTCTGGTCCGAGCCCAAATACAATCAGTTTACTGGACTTAATATTGTTATATGCTACACTAGCTGTTTTTTCAGTCTTTGAAATGTTGATGTGGCTAAATTATTTTGAATACAGATACTGTTATTGTTGAGAGAAAAATTCCAGGTATATTGGAAATGTTTATGTATTTTGTGTCATATTTTAACTGCGTTCATCGATGGTAATGGCACACTAGATGAGAAGAACATTTCAAACTGGCACTCCATGTCACAAACGTTGCCGACCCCTGGTATATACCAACACATTTGTTTGATTTTCTCTCAACATTTTGTTCATGCTGCTAAACATTTGCCATTCAGTTAACTTCAGCTTTGTCAAACGTGAATCTACACAGACTTATCTTTTAAAAGAACAGCCTGAATCCTGAAGCCTGAAATTTAAATAATCTTTATACAGCCACAGAATCAGGTCACAGCAGAATTCAAATTGGGAGAGATTTATTTCTGTTATGAGCTGTGATTTTTTGTTCCTGATGTGTTTTGCGGGACAGATTTTCAGAAAGTGGGAGCAGCTGCAACAAAAAGGCTCGGTTCTCACTTTGTTCTGATGAAAGTGAGAAGATTTAGAGCATTTGATATAAATATTTCTCCTCCGTGTGCTGCTGTTTGCCCAGTGTGGAATCTGGAAAGTGTGCTCTATACCAGCCAAAATAATCAGCTCTTAACAAGTTTTTCTTCAATACCTAGTGGTTCCAATTTAGTTTATTTTCTATATTTTTGGTTCTGGACAAGCACCCATTAAACAATATCTGTTTGTGGTTACCCCCGACGACTAGAAGGACTGCCCATCTATAGTCAACTTTCTGAAGGATCAAGCTAAAAAGTTTTAAGATCATGTTATTTTCTATGTTTACTTCATTACATATGTTCTCCCATTTCCGTTTTGAGCATCGCCAAACAGCATCGACACAAGCAGCGACATTTAACCGGAGAAACACAGGATCCTGGTTTACATCGTTGCTTTTGCATGTGCACGACGTGTGTGGAGCTTCACGTCTCGTTCTGAAGACAGATTTATTGTTCAAAACCACTTTAAAGATTATTTATAGCTGGAGTGTTTGTGAGTGATTGTGTCTGTGTGGCCTCCTGCTGTGAGCGCAGAATCAGGGGAAGTCTGGCTGAAAAAGGTCTCAAAACTTTTCAGACCAACGATGGGAACATTTATCACTTTCTTACTTCACTTTACTTTTATATTTATTTGAGCTGTTTAGATTCTTGTGTGGGCACAACCTTATAAGTCACATTTGGTACAAGCTCAAAATGTATTGTGTGGATTTTGTGTTTTACTTGGTTTTATTAATTAATTCATACTTAATTTCTCAGTGATTTTAGTTCAGTGTTACTTCCTGTGCTGTTCCTCTGTGTTGATTATCTGCCCCGTCCTCATCTACATTTTGGGTGTATGTTCCAAATACACAAGATCCAACGTGGGATTTATGAACGTGTGAGATCCGCTCAGATCTGAGCGTACGCAACTGCGGCTGTTCGTAAATGCTGCGCTCAAAACTAATGTATTTATGAAAGTCACGTCTATAAATGTGCAGCAACCGCCTGTTTCACTCCCTGTTTTTGCGACATATCTGAATGGAAGTTGCCCAACAAAACTGTTTGGAAGCCTCAAAGGCCTGTGACACGCAATCCTGAAGAGTTGAGTTTGTTTTAAAGAAATATACACTATATTCAGCTGCGTTTCCATTGAACAAATTTGCTAAACTTTTTTGATACATTGCAAAAATCTCTCTTGAACTTCAGAAATAAATAAATAATTAAAATGTTGGCCTCAGCGGTGGCTCTCATCATTAACTGGATGAAGCATCTGCAGCCTCTTCTTGTGAATGCGATGGAGCGCTGCACACTTGAGAGAGGACGAGAAGCTTTTGCGAAGTAGTGGTCCATGGTTTCACAGAGAAACTCTGGATCCAAAACTTATGAATGACGTGCACAACCTTTAAGGAGTTATGCGGTGAGACCTGTTGTGGCCCCTTCTGCACACTGCCCAACAGATAAGCGCGTTGCCATCCTATCTATAAACTGCTACATGTGAAAGGGCAGTGAGACATTTGGAGTGAGAAGACCACAGTCCATCGATTATGGGGTGTGTGAGGCTTTCATAAAACTAATGAAAAAATACATTGTTTTACCAGATGTGAATGAGGCAACAAAAAAATAGCCATGCGTATTTACGCAGCACAGGACCTGCCACAGATTAACGGAGCCATACATGGGTCACACATCCCTGTAGCGTAAGTTAGTAAGTCAAGTGTATTTGTATAGCGCCTTTCACAGACCAGGATCACGAAGCACTTCACATTAAAGAAAACATAAAGATGACAATAATACACATACATGTTAGATTTAAAAATGGAGAAACAGAAGAGGGTTCTCAACATGATCTGTGATTTATTCAACGTTTGCGTGTTTCCATTAGACTTTCTGATGCACAAATTCAAATTGTGAAATGTGAGGCTCATTGAAAACACATCTTATCATTTTGGGAATGTGTGTATTGTTGTCCAAATCTCACATTTCATGCATGTTTTGACATGTGATGAAGGTTGATGAGCGAACGATTTGCACCAGACTCTGTGTATATTTTGTGCGTACGCCTCATTTACACCCTGATTTGGCCGTACACCCATCCATCCATCC